ATAGACTTGCATTTGGGTTACCATCAGGTAAAGATCAGGGCAGAGGACATTCCCAAGACAGTCTTGAGAACTAGGTACGGACATTATGAGTTTCTGGTCATGCCATTTGGACTAACCAACGCACCAGTTATTTTTATGCACTTGATGAACATAGCTTTCAGACAATTCTTGGATCAGTTTGTCATTGTATTTATCGATGATATCCTAGTCTATTTAAAGAGTAGAGAGGAACACGCTCACCACCTGACTCAGGTTTTGCAGGTTCTTAGGGAGAAAAAATTGTATACCAAATTGAGAGAGTGTGGGTTCTGGCTCAAACAGACTACTTTTCTAGGGCACATCATATTAAGGGATTGAGTATCAGTAAATCCCAAAAAAGATGAGTCAGTACTTGATTTGGAGAAATTAAAATTGGTTTAAGAGATTTGTAACTTTCTGGGAATGGCAAGTTATTACCGCAGGTTAGTGGAAAGATTTTCTAGCCTAACTGCTCATTTGACCCGGCTCACAAAGAAGAATGTTAAGTTTGAATAGAATGAGGATTGCAAAAAGAGTTTTACAGAGCTCAAGAAGCGTTTGACTACTGCACCCGTGTTGGTTTTACCGAGTGAGATGGGTGGATATACAGTGTATAGTTATGCCTCCTACCTGCTGTTGGGTTGTGCTCTGATGCAGCATGGCAAAGTCATAGTCTACGGGTTCAAGACATTGAAGAGTCATGAGAAAAATTATCCTACCCACGACTTAGAACTTGTCGTCATCATCTACGCCTTGAAGACTTAGCGCCACCACTTGTATGGGGAGATTTTTTATATTTATATTGATCATAAGAGCTTAAAGTACATTTTTACTCAGAAGGATCTCAACATGTGTCAGAAGCGTTGGATAAGCTTTCTAAGGACTACGATTGTAATATTTTGTATCACTCAGACAAGGACAATGTGGTAGCCGATGCGCTTAGCAGAAAAAGTACAGGTATGTTAGTTCACCTAATAGTTTCTGAATACAGGGTAATATGGGCCGCAGAACATATACGACTTCAGGACTTGAAGAGAGTTGCATGTTTGACCCACCTGACTGTCCAACCCGAATTAATCCAGAGAATAAAAGAAGCTCAATCCACCGATTTCACCCTAGCAGCTCTCAAGAAGGATGCAGAACAAAGAGTAAATCTAGAATTTAGAGTCTCTGTCGATGAGTTGCTCAGGTTTCAAGACAGGATGTGTGTTCCAGATGACAGTGAACTAAAAAGGGACATCATGATAGAGACTCACAGCTCAAAGTTCGTCATACATCCCAGAAGTACTAAAATATATCAAAATATGCGACCCTAATTTTGGTTGAGATGATAAAAAGAGAGGTAACTGACTTTGTTTCTAAGTATCTAGTATGTCAACATGTTAAAGCAGAGCATCAATGCCCAAATGGGCTACTTCAGCCATTACCAATCTCGAAGTGGAAGTGAGAACATGTCACAGTAGATTTTATGACAGGGTTGCCTAAGGCACGCTCAAGACATTATGTCATTTGGGTAATTGCCGACCAGCTCACCAAGTCTTTTCACTTTTTGGCTATCAAGATGACCAACCCCTTGAACAAACTAGCAAAAATGTATATCTAGGAGATAGTCAGTTTACATGGAGTTTTAGTGACACTAGTATCCGACAGAGATCTCAAGTTCACTTCTCAATTTTGGTCTAGTTTTCAGCAAGTCATGGGAACAAAACTGTCCTTTAGTACCGCATTCCACCCTCAAACCGATGGACAATCAGATAGGACGATTCGCACATTGGAGGATATGCTCCAAGCTTGTGTTCTACACTTTAGGGGCCATTGGGATGATTACTTACCTTTGATAGAGTTCGTCTACAATAATAGTTACCAGGCGAGTATCGACATGGCTCTGTACGAGGTATTGTATGGCCGCCCCTGCAAGTCGTCGATCTGTTGGGAAGAAGTGGGTGATATAAAATTATTCAGCCAGATTTTGTGGAGGAGACTACATCTAAGATAATTAAGATCAGAAAAAACATCTAAACAGCTCAAAGCATACACAAAAGTTATGCAGACACCCAGAGGAGGGATTTGGAATTTGAAAAAGGTGATCAAATGTTTCTTAATGTCACTCCTTTCAAGAAAATCAGTAAGTTTAGCAAGAGGAAGAAATTAAATTTCCGGTATATCAGGCCATTTGAGGTCTTAGACCAGATTGGTACGACTGCTTACAGACTGGCACTACCTCTAGGGTAATCCAGGATTCATAATGTGTTCCACGTATCTATGTTATGCTAGTACAACCCGAACCCCTCATACATCCTGTCTCACGAGCCCCTTTCACTCTAGGAGGATCTATCCTATAGGGAGGGGTAGGCATTGTAGACCAGAAGAGTAGAGTACTCCGCAACCGAGAAATTTCCTTCATCAAGGTCCTATGGCAGAACAATACGCAGGAAGAGGCCACTTGGGAACTAGAATCGAGCTTCTAGACCGAGTACCCCCAGTTGTTCGACTGAGTGAGAGAGTGACCAATTTGATGGACTAAATTTTCTTAAAGGGAGAGAGTTGTAATACCCGGGTCCGAAAAATAGTCTAGGATAATTTTTTCTTATTAAATCATTTTATTCAAATAATTATTTAATTTATTATATTTTTATTTTATTAAATTTTAAAAAAAAAATAAATTAGGGACGAGATTGAAAATAATTTTGAAAAAAAAAAGGTAAAAATTTGAGTTTAATGAGTGTTTTTTTAAAAAAAATAGAAACAGGGGATCAAGGTACAAAAAAAAATTCAACCACATTGGACGGACCAGTTAGAAATCCCAATAATCTGGAGCACGCCGCGTGTCAAAACACGCTAACGTCGGCGCTACATGGGAGGCCACGCAGGCGATCTGCGTGCCCAACGATTCGACGGTCCAGGTTCGATCTCGCGCGCGTAAACAACCCAGATTCGTTCTCCCTTAGCGCGATCGGACGAACGAGATCAATTGTGATAAATGGTCCAGATCGACGTAGAGGGGTATAAATATCTCGTGTCGCATGGGGAACCCAAACCCTA